TTATATCTTTGTGCTTTTTAGGAGGTTTTGAACTGAGGGTCTTGCACTTGATAGGCAGGCGTTCTACCACTGAGCCATGCCTTTAGCCCTCCTCCCCCCCCTTTTCTTTTTGTTGCCCTGTTATTTTGAGAAAGGATATCACTTTTTCCCCCTGGGCCCATGCATGGATCACAATTCTCTTTATGCTTCCTGCTATACTTGGGATGACAGGCCTGTAACATCAAGCACCGATTTTGGCTGTTACCAAGATTGAGTCTTGTGAATTTTTTGCCTGGGCTGGCTTTGAATTGTAATCCATCCACTCACAGCCTCTGACTGATCTCAAACAATTCTTCCCTTAGTATCTGGGACTATAGAGTTAAGACATTGCACTTAGCTTGCCTTTTATAATAATGCTCTAAATTTAGTGATGATTTGTCTAGGTTATAGATTTCCTTTAATTTATTCTACATGGAATTTGTTGGGTTTTTGAACCTGAAAATGGGTAGGGTAGCCCTTGTCAAAGCTAGAAAATTCTCAGCCATTTTCTGTTCAGATGCTGGGTCTTCCTTTGATTCTTCACCCCCCCCCCACCCCACCCCACCCCCCGCCTCTCTGGAACTCCAGCTGAATGTATGTGAGATTTTGGAGAGTTCATGTCAACCAGCCTTTCCTCCATTGGTTTTGCCTCTTGGTTTCTCCCTACTGTATTTGTGTAATGTCTTCAGATCCCTATTCCAAATCACTAACTCTTCTCTCCAGCCTCGGTAGATTTCTTAGTTGGGGAATATATTTTGCATCTCTGGGAATATTTTGTACTGTCCAAAATCTACCTGATTGGTTTTGCATACTCTATTCCTTTCCAATATTTTTCAATCCCTCCTTTTATTTGTTTCTTGAGATTGTCTTATTGCATAACTAAGGCTGGAACTCAAGCTCTTCCTACCTCAGTCTCCTAAGTATTAAGATTACAGGCCTGTATCATAGTACCCATCTCTTGTATTTCTTTCAACATACTGACTTTACATCCTATGGCTACTTATTACAGCATTTGCAATTCAGAGTCTGCATTTTTTTTTTTCTGTTGTCTCTTCCTTAGGGTGGGTGACTTCCTTTGTGTTTAATTTTGTCCTGCGTGCTCTTAATCATCTTTGGGAATTGTCTCTGGCTTGGGTTTGGGGTGTATTCTTCCTCTTAGGAGTTGTTTTTAAAACTCGTACCACTGGAAACACTTGGGGAACCAATATACTTTAACTTCTTTGGAGCATCCATATTACTATAAAGCCAACAAAACCAATCCTCCTCCTGCCCCTCCCATGCCCCCCTAAGCCATCCCCCCCAGCATGAATCTGGGTTCCCATTCCAGAGTTGTGACAAACATCACTCCAGCAAAACCCTGGCTGACTTAGTTGCCCATTGCTCACATTTCAGAGTATTTTAATTTTTTTTATTTGTGCATATGACTTTTTTTAGTCCCTATGAATGCGGACAGGAGTCCCTTTCATTTCCAGTGAGCTCATGGTTGGCTTTAGAAGATGTGGCTACACTTTAGGAAGGTGTGTTGTGCAAAGGGCATCTTCCAGTGCCTCTCCTGCCACCTGACTGGAAGTAGAAACCTCGACATCTCTTCTTGCCTAGGTCTGCTCAAAGTGGATTTGGAGAATTTGCTCTGGTCTCCTACTTCCCTGAAGCTACTCACACAATTGTTCTCCCCTTTCCCCGCTACACAAACAGGCTGCTATTTAAAGCCAACACCTCCCAGATGAAGGTTGTCAACATTTACATATAACAGGGCCAAATAACTACAAAGAAAGAAAAAGAAAGGAAGGAAGAAAGAAAGAGTGAGCAGAATGTCCACCTCCAAGCATAGGCTTAGCCTGAAACTTGAGAGTTGCAAACACCATCCATTCTTGGTCTGAACCAACATGAGTTCTCACTTTTTTGTATTCAGTACATCTCATCTCATTGACAAGAGAATGAATAGCAGGTTGTATTTGACATTCATAGCATGTGGCTTCATGGAACCATGTGCTTTAAATGCCTAGAGGCCTCATAAAATCAGGTGGCTTTCATTTATGCTAATTTATGATCATTGTAAGTATCATGACATGGAAATAATGCTAACATTGGCAAACAGCAGGCATTTCAAATGTAGCACATGTTCATTTTAATACATCGTCTTGGTGGGGAGCTTCTTTGGGGAGGGGGCTGAGTTTGAAGAGATAGTTAGAAATTCACCTTCTGGCATGTTCAGGTCTGCGGGTTTCTTGTAAGCTTTTGGTGTCCCCCAGTGATGACCCTTGCACTGGGGGCCAGTTGGTGCCAACTCCATGAATCCCATTCACCACGTTATTAATAATTGAAGGAACTTGTCATTTCCCGCTGGGTTTAGTGTGTAATTTATGGATTATGAGGCCATGCTAAAATCTCAGGGAGCGTTAATTTCATCAAAGGGGAAAGAGATACATGCCAGCTTCAGTTCTCACTCCCTAAAGTTACTGTCTGTACGGCAGATCTCATCTAGAAGTTTGGGGCATTGGTTGTATTGGCTTTTTGTCTTCATCCCAGAAGATGCCTTCGATCTTGAGGCGGGGGCGGTGCTAGGACTCTGATGGGCAAGCGTCAGAGGTCTCTGAGCTTCTGTCTATGTGTGTGTTTGTGAGAGCCTGTGTCAGGCAGCGTCTTCAGGTGCTTGTGGAATTGCGGGCAGCAGGAAGCTTAATGCTTTCTGTGGGACAGGAGATGCTGCACAATTTGGAGTCCGGGATCGTGGAATCCCTTTCCTTCCAGGGCAAGTTTCCTTGGGTCTGCTGGGTTTGAAGCACCTCTCTGCAGCCTCTTATCTCCCTCTGTAAGAAAGGAAGAGCTCTCCCTTGGAAGGTCTTTTCCTTATGTGAGAAAGAGTTTAAAATGCTTTGATTTCTACCCAACCCTCTAACTTTGAGTTTTACAGAAATTCAAGCCTAAGGAAAAGAGTAGGTGAAAACACAATGAACCACCATTCACCTTTCACCTGGATTCACCAGGAATTAAACTGGTGTAATGTGGGCCATATTTCCTATTTGATTGGTCTCGTGATTTTTCTCTCATCTTGTGTTGAGCAGGCATTCTCTGCTAAACTGTACTAGCGTTATAAACCAAATGTCCCAAATTATTAGAAACAATAAGGATTCAGAACTGAACTGAGGTGGTAAAAGCCAACCATAGCGCAACTCACTTGTCCAAATGTAGTTGGGCCCACTAGGGAACTATATTATGCAAGCTCAGTAGGCTGACTGTTTTTGTATTCCACTGTAACTCCTCTCTACAACAAAGATTGGGAGAGCCATAATGCAAGTTTGCATCTGCTTTAATAAGGGCAAGCTATACAATTGGTTTCATTTATCACGTTTCAGATCTGGTAACACCTCCGAGTCAGCTTGGCCCAGCCATTTTCATGCACTCCACACATAGACAAGAAACAGGAAATCTGCAGAATTAGATGTTTAAGAGGCCAGTCCCCAAAGCTTATGCTGTATTCCCAGGAAAGCCCTGAGGTATTCCCTTGGTAGGAACTCTTAATTTTTATTCTGGGCTTCCATAATCCTAGAAAAAGACCATGAGCATGTCCATAAGCACATCATTGTAGCAGAGAGCGAAGAAAACCCACCAAGCAACCACTAGAAACTTTCCTCTGCCTGCACCTATTGTTTAATTCTTACTTGGCCTCATAAGATCTAAAGAGGATGAGGCTCCAACAGCCTGCTCAGTCACTAATAAGCACACCACCAAGGGATGGACACAGGTGTTTCTGGGGCAGGTGGTACAAGTCTGGTATCACAAGAGTATAGGACACAAGCTGAGACTTGTGGAACCCATTAGGACTTCATTGTTGAGATGTGCGCAGCGTCATTGTTGGGGTTCATGCGGATGGTGTTGAAGAATCTGGTGGTTCTCATGCATTTTGCTGTGGGCATCCCAACAGGGTTTCATTCTACCAGCATGGCCTTGGCCTCACCTCCCCCTGCTACACCATTTACATTAGAGGCGCTTTCCTTCTCTCCTTTACTTGCTTATCTGGATTGCAGCTGGGGTCTCCCTGAGCCTTCATGCTCCCAGGGGTGGTTGGGAGAGATGGGGAAGGGACTCTCCAAACTGTGTCCTAGGCTTATGGCCTTTTGTCTCAATGTCAAAGCCCCAGGATAGGTCTGATAAATGACGGTGACCCACAGTCACCTCCCAGACTGCAGACTGCATGCTGTCTACACCACATGTTCTCAACATAGCACCTCTACCCACCCACCAGGCCCCTGGCACAGTGCTAGTCACTGAGATATAGTCGTGGCTGGGTCGTGTCTACCAGGCTGATAGGTGATGCAAATCAGTGATGCAGGCATTGAACAACTGAGCACGTGGCTCGCAAGGATGGTGGGAATGCTCTCTGGAGGGAAGGGAAGAGTCTTGTATTTGGGATCCACATGGGGTCACTGAGCTGACAGGAAACAGGACTGGCCTGGTATACAACCACATCTCCCCACTTTTCCCTCACCTCCTCACCTTACTCGTCCCTCCTGCTGTGAGTAACCCTTCCTTTCCACCAGTATATCCCTCCCACCTGCTCTGCCTGTCTGCCATGTGCTGGGCACATTAGAAAGCCAGCTGCCAATCAGATGCAAGGACAGTGCGGCTTGGTTACCAGCCAAGTGCTGGTAGCTCACACAAGTGTAATCCTACCTACTTAGGAGACTGATCTGAGGATCATGGTTCAAAGTCAGCCCAGCCAGTAAAGTCTAACAAAAAGCCAAAAGTGGAGGGGTGGCTCAAGTGGTAGAACACCAGCAGACTTGAGCCTGAAAAGGCTCAAGAGATAGACTCGAGCCTTGAATTCAAGCCCCAGTACTGGTGCACGCGCACACATGCACACACACACATCAAACAACTCGACCCCTGGCCCCAGGTCTTCAGATGGCTAGGTCAGTCCTGCACAGAGCTGCCTGGAAGTCTAATCTGTGTCCCCTCTGCCCCGTGTCCTCGCCCTGCAGGAATGGCCTCACCGGCTGCCGCATGCGGACTGAGAGCGAGCCGTCCTGTGGCTCCCCGGTGGTCAGCGGAGACCCCAAGGAAGACCACAACTATAGCAGTGCCAAGTCCTCCGATGCCAGGAGCACCTCACCTGCCAGTGACTCCATCTCCTCCTCCTCCACCTCCTCCTCCTCCTCCACCTCCTCCTCCTCTTCCTCCTCCTCCTCTTCAGCTGACGATCACTACGAGTTTGCCACAAAGGGGAGCCAGGAGGGCAGTGAGGGCAGCGAGGGGGGCTTCCCGAGCCCTGGGAGCCACAGTGAAGCGGAGGAGGACGACAGGAAGGCCAGCCCGAAGGATGCCAAGGACGCCCTGGGGGACAGCGGCTATGCATCCCAGCACAAGAAGCGCCAGCACTTCGCCAAGGCCCGGAGGGTCCCCAGCGACTCGCTGCCCCTCAAAAAGAGACGCACGGAAAAGCCCCCCGAGAGCGACGACGAGGAGATGAAGGAGGCGGCCGGGTCGCTCCTGCACCTGGCCGGCATCCGCTCCTGCTTGAACAACATTACCAATCGGACGGCAAAGGGGCAGAAAGAGCAAAAGGAAACCACAAAAAATTGAAAACAAGTCACTGATTTGTTTTGAACTTAATGGCCATTTGGTTTTCAGCATGTCAGGAGATATTCTAATGATTTGTGGCAATATCAGCAATTTTGTTTCCTTTTTTTCTCTCTCTCTTTTATTTTTCCTTTTGGTTTTCTTTTTTTCCCTCTTAATTATTGTTGTTATTATTTTGTTTGTTTCATTTGCCCCCCTTCTGTCTTCTTTTGTTTTAGACCCTTAAGAATTTTATTTTTAAAGGAGATTGAAGCCATAGAACTCATATTGACACTCAGCTGTTTTACAAAAGCTTTTCATTATCCGAAGATTTTAAAAAAAAAAAAAAAAAACCAACCACCACCACGACAGCAACAAAAAAAGTACTCAAAAGCCAAATTACCATTGCTTCCTGCAGCCTGTCAGAAAAGATGGGGCCAGATCTACAGGGTTGTCACCATTAAATGTCCCCAGGGACAGACATAAGGGCATTCGTGCCACTAATGACCAGTCACTCAGGCCCAACCCTTAGGTTTAAAAAGTCGAGTGTCCCTCTGGTTGCATGAAGGCTCATAGAGGAATTGGAGACAAAGAAGCACCCCAGCCCTTCTGCTAAAGCAAACCCTGGCATCCCACTGTACCAGGAATGCCCTGCCCTGGGCATGGCCATGTACAGCTCCGGGGTGGGCCTTCACTCCTCCATGCTTCTTGACCTTGAACCCCGTAATGTCTCACAAGATGAACATTCATTGGGCTGTTTTAACACATCAGGTGTCAGTCACTTAAGGAAGAGTAACGGGGCACATGTTTAGAGCTACTACTGCTAGTCTTTGAATTCTGTTGTCTATAAAATTAAGAAAATGTTCCAAAAGCCATAAACCTGAAGGTTGGCCTGAAGGCACACTCACGCACACAGACCCAAGAACTAGACTGAGAAAAGCTGATGCTGAAAAGCAAGCCCTGTCTTCTCAACTGCCTAAATAAAAAGCAATCGAGCCCAATGAGTGACAATAGCTGTTAGGGAAGAAAATAATGGTACAGATTATGTTTCTATCAAAATTTGTTTGATCCAAATGAACAACAACAACAAATTGCTCCAGAGCCTGCCATTAGTTTTGTGTATTTTTAAAAGATTAAAGGCATCTTGATGGGCCTCCCCCTCCAAAATAAAAAAGTCAAATAATAAACTCCTCAGAAAGGAGTTTGCAATTAATGTCAGGACTCAGCTTTGCAAAAATCAATGATTTTCACATTCACCCGGTGTAGCCAACAGAAATTTCTGATCCACAATGCATGGGTTCCTTTGAAGAAGAAAAAAAAAAAAAGAAAAAGAAGAAAAAAAAAATCACAAAAACAAACTTTTTTTTTAATTCAAAAAATAACAAAGTTCTTGTGAGGTAAATAATGTATTTAGCATGAAGCATGAATTATTTTCATATAAATATAGAACATAGAGAAAAGGCTATGCCTCTAATTTTTAAGCCCTTAGGCTTAGAGATTCTTTTGTTTTTCTTTCTCATTAGTTTACTTTCTTTTTTTCCTTCTATTTTCTTTTTTTTTTTTCTTTTATTTTTTTCCCAGGTTATTTTGTTTGGGTTTTTTGAAGCAGGTGTTTAAGGTTTAACCTTCTTCAGGGACAAATTCTGACTGTTGGGGAATTTACTCTGCAATATAAAAATATCTTCATGCTCTGGTAGGGCTTGGATGGTTGAACTCTACACTGCCTTGTCTGCACTCAGCCCCTCCCCTCTCTGATTCTCTGTTGAAGAGTGTGTCCTTCCTCTATGTCTGTACGTGTTTAACATGCCGCAATAATTTGAGGGTAAACTTAGTAGTGAGTGTGTGTGATAGAATCAGGAGAATTATGGGACGCTTACTTGAGAAAAATCATTGCCATGATTTGGTTCTAGGAAAAAAAAAAAAAAGGCAGTGACTAATTATGCAAATTCACCAGGAGAAGGGGGAACATGCTAATGGGCCTTATTGGGGAGGGTTGGAGATAGGGTACACAGGAAGGAGGGAGTGGTCCAGGGGTTAGGAGGGCCAGCCCAGCAGTTGTACTGCGACAGTGCCATTTCGCAATAAGCAGGGCCAGGCCATCTCTACCACTAACCTCAGTACACTCACCAACATGAAATCACAACCACCTAGACCGTAGAACTGAACTGAAATCACACCATGTCACAGATCAGAAACTGTTATCTTTGCCTAAAAAGAAAACAAACTTTTTGGACTTTTACGGTTTTTTCTTTTCAGTTTGGGTGTTTGTTTGTTTGTTTGTTTTTGTTTTCCTGAACTCCAATGAGAAATCTGTGAAAAGAGTATGATCTTCCCTCCAGATGGAAGTTTTAAAACGCGTAAATATCCACTACTATGGCTCGGCATCTGGTGGTCAGGGAGAGGGAGGGAAAGGCACAGGGCAGGAACAGGACTGGAAAGCCAGGCCCACCTGCCAGGGCCAGGAACTTGTCAGGATAGTGGGAATTCTCTGCTGCAGTCCCCCTGGGCCTGTCTTTTGGGGGACTGCTGAGGAGGGAACCTCGAAGGAACCTGGGCCTGATATACACAGCTGATTTCCCACCTACACCTGAGCGGAAATCTGAACTCTGCCAGTGTGTAGTCTCAGGGTGTGAATAAGGATGTAGATCAACTTCCGGCAGGGTCCCCGGCCTTTGCTCTCCCCAAACATCTGACACCCTAAAAGCCATCCACCACTGTGGAACCTGAGCCACACTTTAATTTTTGTTGTTACCCCATCCAGTTCAAAAGACACTCCTCCCCAAGGCCCCCCCCCCCCAAGATGGTGAAATTCAGATTTCTTTCCTGAAAGGCAGAGGTGCAGTCTGCACTCTTTTCTGACAGGCCACTTCTTCCAGTGAGCCCCCACCCCCCAGTGGGCTGTCTCCCTCATTTCAGTTTTCTAAAAGGGGTGGAGTTCTCTTTTTAGAAAGTAATAAAATGCAATGTGTGTGATTTACTTTTCTGATCTCTTTGGGAAATAGATAAATATCTTATTTTTTACGAAAAAAAAAAAAAGGTGTGTTCTTCACTTCAGAACCACTCTCTTTTGCATAAATACCTCATCGGGCAGCTTTCTAAGTGTTATTTTTCCTGAGCCTCCCTTGGCAATGTCATGGAATCTTCTGGAAGATTTGTTAGGGAAACTTTACTGAGGGTACTTTTTTTTTTCTATTTTCCTTCTGTTTTTGGAGGCATACACATTATGCATAACCAAAACAATGGCTCAAATTGTGTTTTAACTTGGTGTTTTGATTGTTAAACATACACCCACAAAGTATCCATGTGTATGTGGCTGTTTGTAGCAAATTTATTACAGAATGAGGTTGTCTTGTTCCCTTAATAAGCCAGGGTCAGATGACAACCTCTCTCTTCTCCCTCCAAGAGCAGTAGAGAATTTAAGCACAAAACTCTTTGTGAAAGAATATTTTGCTTAAGTGTAATTCACTTTAGTTTTGGAATTCCTTCCCAAACTAGCCTGTGTATCCATTAGTCTGCCAGATCACCTGATCACCGTTAAAGGAGTAGAGGTGTCTTCATTTCTCCGACCAGGGGAAATGGCATTCATGCGTCATTCCAGTAAGCTTACATACTCACCTAGGGCAGGGGGGAGGGGCAGCGGGGAACTATAGCAATATTTAAAGATGCTTTGAAAACCGTGAACACATCAGCACCATGATTTACAATGACTTGCTATTGGGCCCTTGGACACATTTAAGAGAAAGAGTGTAGCTCTTTGTTTTGTTTTCCTTAAATGCTACACACATAGATAGTTGTGTTTAATCCTATTCGAATAATTGTCTTTTTAGTCCTATGTGGAAAGTATTTGCATCATAGATTCCCTCCACCCCCAGCCTTATAATCTACCACAAGCTCCTACGTCCCTCCCCTCTGTCGTTAGAATACTATCTGCAACTAAAAATGTACCAAACCCACATGTAGATAGTGGTTTGTGAAAACCCCGTGGCCAGACAGCTGTGTCAGGCTTCACTTTTGGAGTTGGGTATTGCCAGGCAATGCATCGGAGACTTGGTTTGTTTTTTGGTTTTTTCAAGAATGGATTTTTTTCTTTTTCCTCATGGACTCATTCAGCTCAGTATGTCCAGTGCCTGCTGGTCACAGCTCTCTTCCCATAGAACATTCCAGAAGAGGCCATGGGATTGAAAAGGCAAGAGGAGGCACTGGAGAGTGGAGACGACAAAGATGGCTTTTGTACCTAGTGCAACATCTAACAACCAGGCCTGCTCAGCACCCCCTGCTGATATGGGGGTCCCGTGGAGCCTCTTGAGAGAAGGGCTCTTTGAGAAAGAATCAGAGTTAGATAGAAGTCGACCTGCCTGGGAGAGGTTTTCTATTTGAGATTGACTTAAATTCAGTGTGATTTCTCTTTTCCTTTCAATTTTATTCAGGTTGGGACTTGTTTCTTTCTAGTGGATCACAGCTGCCCAGATGTTGAAATTGACTTTTTTCCCATTTTTACATTGCTGCAAAGAAGTATTTGTTTTTCTTTCACTTACAGGATTTTTTTTTTTTTGCCACCTAAAAAAACATTGAAACTCTATGTCCCCTCCCCCCTTGATTGTAAGTTCCCAGTGTTGACAGTTTAATCCTTAGTGTTGTAGGTCCTAGTCCACCGATACTATATCAAACACTGTTATGCACATAATGCAGCACTGTGATCTAATTTAAATAATACTTTTTTATTATTTATACTACTATATATAATATACATCAACACTTTTGCTATATAACCTAAGTGATTAAAAAGAAAAAAAAAAACACCCTTTTAGTTACCTGCCAAACTCTAAACTTGGGTTTCTATTTGTAGTTACACAGTTACAAAGTTGTAATGGTGTCTTTTTTTCTCTCTCTCTTTTCCTTTTCCTTTGTAATGGGATGTGTAAATCAAAAGTATATACATTGTGTGGTGTTCCTTGGAATTTGATGAGGATGTACACACAGCATTCAGTGTTCTGTATAGACCTGCATACCTTTGTGAACCCTTTGAGAGAGCTCCAGCCAGCCATGGTGGCTAACTTATTGTCTTCTTTCCTGCTCGTTATTCTTGAATTAAGCACAGACTCAGTTGCTTTATCATGAATAAAATAGGTGTGACCTTGTCACGCTTCAACAGTTCAGCAAATAAGTGCTAGCTTCAGTGACCAAAAATTCAGGAAGGAAAACACCATATATATATATATATATATACACATATATATATTATTTTTTTTTAGAAAAGAAATCCATCTTTTAACGGCTGAAACCTATGTGTCTATGGTGCTGTGCGTCTTGCTGTCGAGCTTCTGAAATCAGACCGATGTGAAAAGATCATTTACGTACTGTGAGATGCTGGCGACTATCCTTCCTGTTGTCTTGTTGGTGTCAATACCAAGACTATTTATTTGGGATATATAGCGCAGTGTTTTTTCCACTGTTTTATCATTTGCAAACGTGGAGAGTGGCCTTCTCTACCCTATTGCAAATATTTGATATTCCATATTGGATTCTCAGAAGACTTCGATATGGTGAACCTGTCAATCCTACAAATTGTATTTTATCCTTCATGACTGTGGCCTGAGTTTCCCATCCTGCATACACACACACATGCACCCTTTTTTTTAAGAGGAAAAGTAGCATAGCACACTTTGAGTTGTTTCCATCATCCGCCATGTCTTGAGAACAGCCATGGCTGCATCCTCCACCAGCGGCCCACTGTCTCAGTCATTCCCACTACCTGCACTGCCGTGGCGGCCACGTGGACAAGTTTCTGGGGGAGCAACTACATGTGTCTATTTCTTTATATTCTGATTCTGTTATTTCCGAGTTGGGTTTTTGTTTCACAGAAAGGAAATAACACAGTGGTTAAGAAATCGGGAGGAAAAAGAAAACACAAAACCCACAAGTTGATGGTTGAATGCTTAGAGTCACCTGGCCGTTTCTGGCCAAAACAGACTTATACCTGGCCAAATGAATTTATAAGAGGAATCTTTTTCAGAAGCCAATTTGTTATTTGGTTGTGGTTTTTTTTTTCTTCTTCTTCTGTATTTTCTGTATGAAACTGCCAATATCATGGATAGAAAGGGAGAAGCCTAAAAGAGAAAAGAAAGTGATGTTAGTGGTGTTTGTGTTGACCTAAAGGAGGAGTGTGGACACAGGCATGATCAGCCAAACCCTCGGGACTTGGTGGTGGTCCAGTGGGGGGAATCCACACATGCATTT